ATCAACCGTTGAATGTAGATGTGTTGCAAAGCTAGTTGTTGTAGATGCACATCGACCAAGCTAACACCACCGAATTTTCGCGGGACAGACATAGTAGACATGGATGGCCGCAGCCAAAAAGGAAGTAAATAGCCACGAACCAGAGCTTGGACAGAATCCAGCCACTTAGTTGGAACAGACACCACACGTAAAATGTGCCAGAGCCGACTTAAAAGCAGAGAATTGGCAACAAGACCTGATCCACGCAGAGAAAGATTGCGCTGACGTAAGATATTGGCGTGCCGCAGTATTTTAAGACGAGCTTCATCCAAAAACGAATCGAGCTGCGTGGAGGTATGGTACAGGGGGTAACCAAGATATCGCACCGCACCAACAGAACTAGAATCATGCCATTCGAGCCCTTCAGATTGAGCAATGTCGACCCATTCAGCATGACCAACACCGGAGAGAGACACCAACACCGTTTTGCTAAGATTGACTTTGGCATTAGAAGCTAGACCGTAGCAATCCAATAAAGATTTCAAAACCGGCCATTCACCTGGACCAGTTAAAAACACCTCCAAGTCATCAGCATAACTTAGTAATTTGACAGGACGAGGAGGGTTCACCACCGACTGACTGATAAAATCGCGATCAGATGAGCTAGGAGTATCAATCCACACCGGTAGAACCAGAGGACACACCGCCGAAGACACCGCACCACCACCAAGAGAGACACCAGAGAGACCAGAGCACGCTAGAATGGACCGAAGAAGAGGTTCAAAGGCCAAATTAAAGAGCAGAGGAGAGAGAGGATCACCTTGCCGTAGACCTCGAGACTGAGGTATGGGCATTCCTAACCAACCATTGATAGAGATGGATATCTCAGTACCGAAGAACAGAGTACTTAGACAATCCACCAGCGTCAAGGGAAAACCAAATCGAAGAAGCACCTTGCGGAGATAATCCGGATGGACCCTATCATACGCCTTTTCTTGATCCAGCAGAACTGCCACATGAGGAACATCAGGAGCCACATCACGAGCATTAGCCATAAACATTTGATTTAACCAACCATTGTCCGAGATCAATCGATGAGGCATAAAACCAGTTTGGTAAGGATTGATCAGCTGAGGAAGAACAGTATTAAGCCTATTAGCCAGAAGTTTTGTGAACAACTTTGCATCGCTATTAATGAGAGAGAGCGGGCGCCAGTTCTTGAGTAACATTGGATCACCTTTCTTGAAAAGTAAGACCATCCTAGTTTGTTGCCAAGAAGAAGGAAACACACCGATAAGAGCATCATTTAAAATACCTAGCAGCATCGTACGGAAATCAGCCGAAGACTTGAATAGGTATTTGTACACCTCAAAAGGAAGACCATCCAAACCAGGGCTTTTACCAAGGGGAGTATGACCAACCAAATCTTGCAGAGTATCCATCAGAATAGGATCTGTCAGCGAGTCTGAATCTTCTAGAGACAACACCACATCATCAGGAATACTTGCCAAGAGAGAGTCAACAGCTGCATCATCAATTAAATCAGGTGTGTATAGCTCATGGTAAAAACCTCTTGCTTCCCGAATAATATCATCTGAATTCACCAAGACAGAACCAGTAGCGGAGCACTTTAAGGATTGTATAGTCTGTTTAGACTGACGCTCCTTTATAACTCGGTAGAAATAATTGTTGTTACGTTCACCCAGTTCATGCCAGCGAGTAGCAGAGCGAAGCATACATTCACGCGTTTCTTTCTGAATCTGATTGTCAATCAGTTGATCTAGCTCTTTCAGTTTCGAGGAATCAACCAAGATACTTCCAGAACCAGACTGAGTTAACACAGCATCACTAGTGATAATGCCCGACGCAGTTGATAGCAGAATTGTACGTTCCTGTTGTAACGAAGCAACTTTGTTCTTGAACCGAGCCTTAGCACCTCTAGTGTACTTCCGTGCGCAGCACTTCAGTAACACTTTGAAAGATTCCCATATGTCTTGAACAGGCACAGGTTCACCCCCACCACCGTCACCAGGATTATCAACACAAACAATGGAATCAAAGAAGAGCGCCACGGTCTTATCCAGCAGAACCAGGAACTCAGCATCATCCAATAAAGTAGGGTTGAAACGCCAACAACCAGGACCAATATCAACACGGGCAGGAACAAGATCGATTGATAGTAAACAATGATCTGTATACGCCGAAGGGACTTTTCGAATCATACCATTAACCAGTCGAGTAGCCAGAGAGCGATGACCAAAGACATAATCAATAGTAGTTCTTGAGTTACCCTGCGTGTGAGTAGGAAGACCAGAAGGAAAGCAATTGTCGAAATGACTACGCACCCAATCAAACCAGAAAGACACAGTGGAATGACCAGTAACCTTGACATTATGAAGATTCATGTTGAGATCACCCATAAGTAGCCAAGGCGCAGTAGACATGTCAGAGAAAAAAGGAAGAGAAAGAAAATTGTTCAAAAACAGAGGACGGTCCGAAGACTGTGCCGGTACGTAAACAGAGGCAACGCGACACAAGACATTTTGCTGAAGATCCATAACTGAACCAACAACACAACGCTCGTCCAATGAAATAGCAGTGTCATCCAGATAGAGACCAGAATTGAGACATACAATAGCACAATATTTGGAGACAACCACCGAACAACGAGGAAAAAGAAAGGAGCAGAATTGAAGCATTTGATCATCAGTAAGATGGGCTTGATGAAAAGAAGAAACTTCTTGAATGCAAAGAACATCCAGAGACAAAGAACGATTGCGCAGAAAAGAAATAAATTCCTTTTGAATTTGAGGGCTCGTCGACTTGAAAATGCTGCGCGCATTAAGTGAGCCCAAGCGAAGAGGTTTACCTAACATTGCGCCTTATCGGCAGTCTGTTGGAGTTTCTTTTTCATATGAATACTTGTATATGGCGGAGGCACACCCATTTTCTTCGAAGAACTAGATACTTTTTTCACACTACCGCCGGCAGGCTGAGCAGTCTTTCCTTTCTTTGAGCCAAGAATTCGACCACCACCACCAACAAAGTTCCTTCCAGTTAGACTAGCACCAGCAATAGAACCTGCACCAGCATTAGCACCAGCACCAGACATATCACCACCAGCACCAGACATATCACCACCAACACCAGACATATCACCACCAGCACCAGACAAATCAGCACCAGCACCACACATATCACCACCAGCACCACACATATCACCACCAGTTCCAGAAGTAACAGCACCAAGACTAATACCACCGACCTGAGACACATTACCACCATCAGAGCTCACACCGGAAGCAGCACCAGACCCAGAGGCACCAACCGAGACATCACTAGACACACCAACTGCCAAGTCTTCATCTTCACTCATGTCATCGCACATGCTAGACCCAATTGTCTGAGCTGACTCGCTAAGCTCAAGCTCCACAGGAGAGACAGACTCCATGTCCACATCAAAAATTGTAGAACCCGAAGCCCATTTCGAAGATTTGGTGCCTTTATCAAATGTGGCAGCTTTTTCACCAGCTACAGAACCATGAGGATCAGCCGTAGATATACTAATACCATCATCTTTTGTGCGATTGCAGGCGCGCAGATACTCGTGCAAATCAACGGCGTCGCTGTTCATCTTTTTGGCCTTACAAAATTTGGCGGTATGACCATGACCATTACAACTAAAACACACCCGTTTGGCCAGTTCAGGACAGTCCTTTCGAAGATGACCAGCCATTTTACACCAATGGCAGACAGGAAGAGCACCTTTGAAAGAAGCAGCAGCAAAACAATCCCATTGTTCCAGGTACAAGCTATTCGACAGAGGTTGGGCTTTTAATGTTTCACCAAGATCATTCTGATAACCTTCAGAAACATCCAACAAAACAGACACCTCACCCTCAAAAAAACCGTGATACGTGAACTTCTTGATCTGATACACCTTACCATAGTACTTTAGAGACCGTTTCAAATCGGCAGCAAAATTCTCTTCATCAGGTATTCTTAGCATGCTCAACTTGATATGCACCAAATTACTATTTGACATACCATCATGTGAAGGGAAAGCTTTGAAACAAAGTTCACCAACCATTACACCTGTTGAGACAGCCTTAGTTGTACTTTCGGGACGCGAAAACTTCACTTCCACCAGAAGATCACCAGTTGACTTACCACCATACATACTAAGTGGCCGAACACCCGTGATCTTACCACAACTGGCCTCAATGGCAGTATAAGCTTCTGCCCGAACTTTAAAAAGACGAGCCGGAAAAGAAAAAAGAACCGAACCAGGAGTCAAAGCCTGACGCACAATAGCAGCAGCTTTACGAGCCAAGATTTGAATTTCCAGGTCAGCATGTTGGTAAATTACCGTACCAGAAAGCTTAGATTCCAAGTCTTGCACCTTAGAACGATACATTGGACGAACAATTTTATTGGACGCTCCACGAGCAACAACAGTTGTCCAGGACAACCGATCATTTGATTCCATGTCATTCATTTTCAAAATTGGAATCAGGAATTGAAAATTGAGAATTGAAAAAAGTTTTTTGTTCGAAGATTTCTATAAATGTCGAGATTGTAGTCGAGATCGAAGAGATGGACGAAAGCGTAATAATTGAAAAAGATAGAGCTTGCAAAGACGCGTCGAATGCAAAAAGAAAATTGAATGGATGGATAGAATTCACCGAGATATCGCCGAAACAAGTTTTTGGATGCAAATACCTTTTGTAAAAATTCTTTAAGCGAAAGAAACCCAGCACGGGATACGATTGTTGCCCAGGAATTGTGAAGATTTTCTGCCATTGTTTAATAATCCAGAAAGAAAATTAAAATTGGAGATTGAGAATTGAGAATGTTGAAATCTTTGCCGGATTGGTTAAATGTCGCGATAAACGCTGAGATCGAAGAGATGGAGGGGAGCGTAATAAATAAAAAAGATAGAACCGATAGAGAGGAATCGAATGCAATAAAAATTTCTGATGGATGTATAGAATTCACCGAGATATCGTTGAAACAAGAGTATGGATGCAAATACCTTTTGTAAAAATTCTTTAATTGAACTGAATGCTTACTTATTTAATATAACTCTTTATCGTTCGAACAAGTGTACTGAATATAGAAACAACCTTTCTGCGACCGAAACATCCAAATATAAAGTACATATTTAACGCAAGTTACAACAACTGCTAAAGGTTTAAACGAAAATCGAATCATGACTTGATCTTGTAGATGTCGTACATTATAATTATTATTCTCAATAAATATCAGCCATTAAACAATAAAAACGCAAAACAACAAGTTTACATAATCTTCTTGAGAAATTCACATCATCTGGACCTGAAGTTCTTATGAAATTCTCCTGAAATTCTAACGAAATTCGAACGAAATTCTAACGAAATTTTATTGAAATTACAATGTAATTCTATCGAAATTCCCAATGAAATTCCCATAAACATCACGTGATACATCACGTGATATTCACATGATCTCACGTGATATTCACGTGAAAAAAAAATTAAGGGCTATACCGGGATATGTGACGCAGATGGCGCATATGACCTAAATGGCACAAGCTACAACATGTACTGGTTTTACCTAAAATTAACGTTATAATTGTTATTGTGGCATATGCACAATTTTTAAATCGTACATTTTTCGCGGACCGGTGTTTAAATGGTTAAAATCCCGAATCGCCGCTTAAATTGGCTTTTTGAAATTATTTTTTTTTTATTTTACTTTTTAAAATTTTTGATTTTACTGATTATTTTTTTTTTTCGAACATGTCGTCCGGTTCATACATAAAAAAAAAAATGCCGTCCGTTCAGTGCTCTCGATGGGAATTTTTTTCTTTGGCCCATATCTCCATCAATTCTAAACATCTATTCAAAATGTTTATTACAATCCGTTCGCCTTCTCCTGCTCTATCAAGGCTTTCTTTCGCTTCTGAAAAGAATTTTTCATAAAGGTATTTGCATCCAAACTCTTGTTTCAACGATATCTCGTTGAATTCTATACATCCATCAGAAATTTTTATCGCATTCGATTTCTCTTTATCGGTTCTATTTATTTTATTTATTACGCTCCCCTCCATCTCTTCGATCTCAGCGTTTATCGCGACATTTAACCAATCCGGCAAAGATTTCAACATTCTCAATTCTCAATCTCCAATTTTAATTTTCTTTCTGGATTATTAAACAATTCCAGAAAATCTTCACAATTCCTGGGCAACAATCGTGTCCCGTGGTAATTCCAAGAAAGTTGTTCGTCCTTTATCTGTCCCTAAAAATGTGGACTCTCAATTCAAGTTACAAAGTAAGGTCATCTACCAAAGTGAAGACCTTGAAGGCCTCATCAGAATGCAGAAGGCTACCGAAATAGTGAAACAGGCCCTGACACCTGACTCCGCTCTTTTCTCCATTCCTGCTTCGTTAATCCAACATCGTACCGAAGCATATAAGCCTATTGAAACGCAATGTGGTCCTGTTCATGGTTTCCGCCCAATCAGTAATTATGGTTCCAGCTTAGATGGTGATCATTTGATTGAAGCCAAATTTGTTGATGACTCAAGTTTTGACAAGGCAATTTCTTCTGGTGTTACAATCAAGAACACCGTTATCAAAGGAACCCATTCAAATGATAGCGAAGTGAAGAAGCTTGCCCACGTGAAGATATCACTTTTATATATTCCTGATAAGAAGGGTTTTCTTGAAAAGTTAATGAGGTCTCTTCTTGTTTACGGAGAAGTCTTGCAAGTCAAGGAGTACACTTGTGGTGGAAATTTCGAAGGCGAATTATCACTGATACTCGATACGACTACCGGTTATTCTGATGATGATAATGGAGAGTATGCCAATGAGCCGCTGTCGAATAATTTATATTTGTTCGAATGGGATTGTTTTGCTTCGGCATCCTTCAAAGGTGCCCCTATCGTTTGTCATTGGTGTCACCACGCCGGTCACATACGCTCCAAATGTCCGGAATTGGCAAAAACCAAGTGCTTCGCTTGTCAAGGTTATGGTCATACCGCGAAATTTTGTAAAAAGAAAACGTTTCAGCCAGTGCAAGTCCATACCCCTAAGGAGGAATCTAATATCGAGCTGCCTACGATTGTTGAACAGGTTATCTCCGATTCTGATACAGACCTGTCAGATGCGTACCAGCCTTCGAAGATTGCTGAAAGTGGTTCTTCAACGTCTAAGTACGCCACAACAGTAGAAACGGTGTCCATGGAAATTGAAGAAGACGAGGGTACATTACCGGTGACAGTTCCGACTTCCCATTTGGCTGGTAAAATGTTTGATGGTGGAAAAAAAATGCTAGGACAAAAGCGTTCCATTTTGGGTAAACAGAAGGCTATCAAGCAAAACTCCAAAGGTCCTGCTCCTAAGTTAGTTGTCCAGACGCAACATGCTCTTAAAGGTCACAAAATGTTTACGAAGACAAAGGTTGCTAAACCGAAATAGTTTAGCTTTCCCTTTTTTACTTCTATATCTAACTTGCTAAATAAACTCACTGTTAATACAAAAAAAAAAAAATATTTGCACATTTAAAATCGACATTCTTAATTTTTCCACTGGATCATTTAACAATGTCAACTCAAGATCATGTTTCCTGGTCAACTGTGGCTTCTCGCGGTGCCTCCAAGAAAGTCCTGCGTCCACTTCCTGTCTCTGCGGAGACTGATTTTCAATTCAAGTTGAAAAGTAACACCCTTTTCCATCATTCTGAACTTGATTACCAGATTATGGTACGCCAAGCTGCTTCTATTGTCAAGCAAGCACTGACGCCTGGTTCTGTTTTGTTTTCGTTCCCCGCTTCACTTTTGAAGCATCGGACAGAAGCTTATGAACTCATTGAAGATAAATGTGGTGCTGTCCAGGGATTTCGTCCTATTAGCAATTATGGTACTCGCTCTGCTGGTGAATTCATGGTTGAAGTTAAGTTTGTAATGCCAACAAGCACTACAAAGGCAATCACTCACGGTGTTAGTTACAAGAACTTGTTGTTTAAAGGCTCTCCTTCTGTTCCTAGTGGCAACAATACACTTGTGCATGTCAAGATGACTCTTTTGCGAATTCCGGACAAGGATACGTTTCTGGCGGATCTCAAAAGATCTCTGCGTTATTACGGTAAAGTGTACCAGGTGAAAGAGTACACTTGCGGTGGGTACTTTGAAGGTGAGCTGTCGGTTATCCTTGATACTTCGGCTGGCTATATTGATGCTTCTGGTGACAAGGTCAAGAATGAGCCACTTACAAATAATTTGTACTTGGAGGAATGGGACTGTTTTGCTTCGGCAACATTTAAAGGTGCACCGACGGTTTGTCACTGGTTTCGTTTGGCTGGACACGCACGGTCCAAATGCCCGGATTTGGCTAAAACCAAATGTTTCTCGTGTCATGGTAGTGGACATACCGCCAAGTTTTGTAAGAAGAAAAATCTTGGTGTTACAGAACTGCCTGTTTAGGATGAGATCTCAACTGATCTTCCCTCCCCCACCGTTGAGAGCCTCCATGCTCAAGTGCTGTCTGACTCGGACACAGATATTTCTGACGTGTCTACGTCCCCCAAGTTTGAACCGAGTGGCTCTGCAGCTTCTAAGTTTGCAACCACTGTTGCTAGTGTATCCATGGAGGTTGACAATCACGTGAATACTACCACTCCTGCTTCTTCGACGGCTGGTCCGATGGTCGAAGTTACTAGTGGCGCTATAAAAGTTGCTGGTGCCAAGCGCTCGGTTTTAGGTAAGCATTCTGTCCCGAAATCAGGCGTTAAAGGTCCGCTTCCCAAATTGGTGGTTCGCACACCATCCAATTTAAAAGGTCATAATTTGTTCACGAAGAGAAAGGTTGTTAAAAAATAATTTTTTTAATTTTCCCTTTCGATTTCTATAATTTTTTCATTGGTAAATAAACTCACTGTTAATACAAAAAAAAAGGGACACCGTTTTGTGTTCCGGGCGGACTTTTTTGTTTTTTTTTCACTGTAAAATATTTTCAGGGACACCGTTTTTTTTTACGGACACCGTTTTTTTTTTACGGACAACGTTTTTTAAAGGCGCCGTTTTTCGAGGACACGGACATCGTCTATTTATGAGTAAAGAGATAAATAATAGGTCCTCTCAAGTTGAATTTTTTTTTTTTTTTTTTTTGTCCAAATATAGGAGCGAACCAAAATTCATTTTTTGTGATATATTTGGATTTTTTATAAATTTTATTAAAAATAAAAGATGTCACATTTTTTAATAATTAAAAAATACTAAAAAGACCCCAGAGTGCATAAATGTACATGAAGTTCTCTTTTATTTACAATTACAATAAAATATCATTATAACATGGACATCGACAACTATAACAGTTTTGATAATTTGCAAGAGCAACTTTGGATGGTTTTATTTCAAGATATACATGTGAACGAAGACCTGGATTTGGATTTGATTGATGAGGAAACGAACGAAATCGAAGACGACTTAGATATGGAAGATGATATCTGGATTGAAGACATGATTATCCACGAAAATGAAGTTATCGATGATATATTATTTTGTGAGGAAAATAGTACCACAGGTGCGCCATTAATCTATGACTTGTGCTGTCTTTGGGCAAGAACATCTAACTTGATGATGTCAACGTTGATCAACTACGACATATTTTATTATATTTACAACTGTAGCCCCATCTTTATGAGCGGGGAACGGTCCCCTCGAGTTGTAAGATCTGCCCGGATGGACACTTTCGAGCAATATTGGACTGTAAAACATCCCAATTTAAACGATGATCCTAAAAGTCGTAAAAGTTATAGAGCGCATTACCGAATCAACAAAAAAACTTTTCAATGGTTGGTCGCTCGTTTAAGCAACTCCTCTCATTATGCCGGATCAATTGTACAAGGAGGATATAGTGTAGAAATTCAGGTTGCTTGTGTTTTGTGGAGATTTGCGAATACACATTTTGGATACCGCATTGCAGAGGTTACTTTGGGTGTTTCAGCAGGATCATATAGAAATTTCACAGAAAGGTTTATTAATGCCATGGTAGATATGAGCAACGAAGTAATTTCTTGGCCCATCGGTAATTCTGCAAGAGCTCTGGAAAATTCTGAAGAGTTTTATGAACTGGGTGGACCCAATAACATGAGATTAAAAGGAATTCTTGGATGTATTGACGGTAAGCTTGTCACCATCCAGAAGCCATCAGTAAATGGAAATGCCCATGTGGATCGTAAGAACAACGCATCGATGAATTTAACTGCTGTGTGTGATGCAAGGTGCAGATTTATGTATGCAAAAACAGGGCATTCCGGTAAGTGTATGTCTTGAATAGACGTTCAGTGTCTTTGTTTTTGCCTACAGCTTTAACCAATACATATAAAGGACGAAACCATGATGCCAGGGTTTTTACAAGCAGTGTTCTATACCATAAAATGCTGACAGACGGTGCTCGATGGTGTCCTGAAAATACTTTCATTTTGGGAGGTGTGTATACGTTAGTCATATATAATACGTTTTCACTGATAAATGTCTCAATTGTAAAACCACCTTGTAGATTCAGCTTACCCTCTTCTCCCAAACTTGGTCACACCCTTTTCAACCAACGACAATTCTTTACAAGAATACAAGGATTTTAATGCTGTTCTTTCTAGCTCAAGAATTAAAATTGAGCATGCATTTGGGGCCTTGACATCTAGATGGAGATTTTTATGGAAACATCTTTACATGCTTGACATCAAGCGAATAGCAAAAACAATTCTGGCTTGTTGTGTTTTGCACAATGTGTGTATTGACCAGTGTGACATCGAAGAATCTTTTGAAGCTGGTAATTTGGAATATGCTGGGTTTATCAGTGCAACGACAATACGTAGAAGAGACGATGTTGAAATATCTCTTCAAAATCCTACACCTCTCCCCAATAATGTAGTACCCGCTCATCCATCAGCTCCTACATTACAACCTACGAGGATGACCACTGCTGCTTTACGTGATCTTAAAAGACTAGCTATATCTCACCGTAACACTCTTTTGGAATCGTTAAGGCAAGTCGAACAAGCCAATGTTTTGACGACATCCGATCAAGAAGAAGACGAAGCTGATTTTTCACATTCAGATGAAGATGCATAAATTTGTTTTATTTATGCACGTTGTTTTTTATTTATGCACGGTTTTTTTTTTTCTTATTTATTATCATATTAAAACTTACAATTCATCGTATTATTTTGTGGCAAGTTTTAGTTAGAAAGCAAGATAACATTTGTCAACTGTAGATGCTCAGTCAAGAAAAATATTTTACGAGAATGGTTTTATTATGAAAAGAAAAAAAAAATCTAATTGTTTTCGTTGTTAGAACGAATATTTGTTAACATGTGATACTTTTCAAAAGTTTCTTCCAAATGCTTTCTTCTTTTTTCAGCCGACTCTTCATACAAGGCATGTCTCTCGCGCATCAATTCTCGTCTTCTTTCAGCCATTTCATTCATGGTAGCTCTTCTACTCTCTTCCAGTCTCGTCAAAAAAGCATCACGATCGATTTGTCTTTGTTCACGCTCTTGGACTCCCAATGTCATTATTGTTTGCATAAATTCACGATTGGAAGTCTGAGCATTATTGGCAATTTGTTGAATTCTTTCAATTGGATCAAAGGTAGAATTATTGGCAACATTATTGGTGGTCAAAGAAGGGGCGTTGTTGCTTGAGTCAGAATGAATGGAAGTGGCGCGAGGGTTAGACATATTTGATGAGGAACGATTGGAGGAGGGACGGTTGGAGGAGGGACGATGGAGTGAGGAACGATTGGATGTGGAAGGGTTAGATGCTGACGGGTTTGGCGTGATAGGATTGGAATTAGCAGAAGTACGAATATTGGCATCAGGTGTAATTGGAGATGATGAAAGGGGACGAATATTGCTTGACTCTGCATCTGAGTCGGATGAATTGCTATGCTCGTTGGTTACATCTTCGACGAAGAAAGAGCTTTCTCTTGCTAACCGGGGAAGAGGAGTGTTAAGAGATGCGCTTGGGTAGCGTTCTCGTCTGGCTTTGTTGATCACCTCTCTTTTAACTTCTGTGTCATCCATATACAAAATTCTACCTAAACCCAGAAGATTTTGTACACCATTGTTTCTATTATGGCGACCAGTTTCAACTGCAGATTGATTTGATTCCACTACTCGTTGAAGATCTTCATCTTGATCAATATCATATATGTGAATACCAGTCTCCTCCATGTTAACAGTTTCGAACAAGATCTGAGGATTGATACTGGGATCATCTCTTGTAATGGCACCCACAGCAGCATAGTACTCTTCATCTTCAGGTGATTCACCCCCATTTCCAGTAACACGAGTCTCGTCACGTCGTGTTGTATATCTTCTTCTCATTCCAACCCATTGTGTTTGCATCTGCTCTGATGTAACTTTCTCTGCAAAAAGTTTTTCGGCATCGGTGGGGTTACTCTCCAATAGTTTCTTTTTCATCAAAATTGTAGAATACTTCCAAATAAGTTTCTTCATGTTCGTATCACTTCTTTCAACTAGAACAAGGTGCGTCTCCGTGGTAATTTCCAGCAAGATATCCTTGGCCTTCTTCGGCCATACCAAATAACTGCGACTTGTAGTTGCACCTTCACTGGGCTCTTCGACAATTGCATTGTCTGACGTAATGACAGGTGGCTGGGAAATGGGAACATTTGTAGATACTTGATTAACGGGATCACTAGCTCGTTGTTCAATTATATTAGTGTTAGCTGGTACCTGACTTTCAATAGCTGTTTGTCCATCGAAGTTGACAGAGACCCAGTTGTTTGCTCCTGTGGCTGTACTAGGTCCTCTAGATCTTCCTCCTCTACCTCTATTACCTCTAGCTCTGGTACCTCTCGTACCTCTAGTGCCTCTGCTACCACCTGTACCTCTAGAGGAGGTAACGCTTCTGGACTCATTCATAGCAATATTGTCGTCGATGGTATGACTATCTCTGGTGGTGTTGCCGATGGTATTGGTGTTGTTGTTAATTTGATTATTACCGCTGTTATTGCTGTTGATTTCCATTTCGTTGGTTATATCCGTAACAGTAGTCGAAAAATTGTTCATTATAAAGTAAGTTGTATCAAAGAAGATAGAAAAATGAAAGAGGATAAAATAAATTCAAAATAAAAATTCGCTTTGCATGATTTTTATTTTATTTTGTCATTTTATCACTTCCTTTTTGAGCTTCTATTTTTCAATTTAGGATCAAATCGATCCTAATTTCATTTTTTATTTTTTGTCCCTTTTTGTAAAAGAATTAAATTTGACGAATTGGGAATTTATTTATTTTTATCAATTTGGTCATTATCATTCCTTATATATAAAAAAAATTAATTTCAAATTAAAAAAATTCAACTTGAGAGGACCTAATGTTAGTAAACATGGTAGAATGAAGAAAACAAATAATGGTTTTTAGGAATGATAGTATATATTTGAGTTATAAAATGATGGAAAAGAGAAAAAAAAAAAGTTAAGTATTTTGATTAAAATCAGAAAAATCGCCTGTGCAGATATCCCTACGAACTGTCATAGCTTTTTTGTGAACGGGGCTAATGTCGGGCCAATGCTCATAGGCAATTGGCTTGTTGTTTTTGATATTGCTTTTGCGTTCTAAAAGATAAAAATGGAAATTACTCAAGAATATGATGATCGGGTTAGTCAAATGTTAAGTGTAGAACTCCAAAAAAGGAACAAAAGTTTGTCTCGACTTGTTGTATACAATATTTCCTTCATCGTCATATTCAATACCAGTTACTTTAAAGATCCTATGTGATAAGCTTAAGAGGACCACTGGTCGTTTAAATGTGTCTGCGACGAGTTGTGGACAGCCAATAGTATCAAACCACATGAAATTATCCTCAGAATCGAGACACGGAGACTTGTTCGTATTTAATTTTGTTTCGAAATACTTGATATCCAGCTCGATAGTTGTATAAACGCTTTGGTAGGAACGGAGAGTTTTGAGCATTGATTTTTTTACATGGACCCAACCCTCTTCATGGCCGAACAATGAAAGGCTTACTGCTCTGAACCCGCAGTTGCCATCACCTTGGGGATTGACAAGGCCTAAAGCCTGGCCAGCGTCCAACGGATGTAATTGTTGTAGCAAACCAGGATTATTATCAATGGGGTCTATATGCGTGTTGTTGTATCTTTTATGACAGCAACCGGTTAATCGTAACATATTTTTTTGTTGTTGTAATAGAACAAACTTACTTCACGGAGACGTTTTTCAAGAGGCTGGTCGCCACACTTGGTTTAGTCTTTGTTTTTTTTTCTTGCTTTTTCGGTTGTTTATTCTTTGGTAGGTCAAGAATTTCATCAGCCTTCCGTTTCTTACATTCTTGTTTGATGGCATGTTCTTCGTGTTCTATTCCCAACTTTTTTCTCTTGGTGCTCTTTGGTCGGCCCTTCTGAGAAATAACAGTTGCTGGAGGAAGGGCTGACTCCACAGATGACTTACCTACAGGCTCATTGTATAATGCGTCAATTCTTTTTATAACGTCTTCCGATTCTTGTTGGCTACTGGCGGTCTTCAACAGCAAGGAAAATCTTTCAAATCTCAACATCAAACGACCGTGAGGGCTGTTTGGGTCGTCACTACAAACAGGTGGCTCCGGTTTATCTTGTTTAACCTCGGCAATGGTGGCAACTAGATGTTTGGAGCTTATTATTCACGAACTTAAATGAAAATAAAAATCTTACCACTTCCTTTGATGTAATATATTCTCCATCGTTTGGAAATTGCTTTCAGAGGGATGACATTATTGTTTTCCAAAAGCAGCTTAGCTAAAAAATGTCTACCTGGAAGATTGTAGTTTCTTCTTAAAGCGCAAAAGCAAGATTTTTCTCCAGGAATGACATGACTCTTGTGGTTTTTGTCTTCGCTATCCAATCTCATTTTCACAAGCTCCTACTTCATGTTCTCAAGCGCAAAGCTAGTAACATTCATTTTTATCAGGCTGATTTTGGCCATAATGTCAGAATCAAGTAGCATTGTTTGCTGTGACAATACTTCTTTCGTAGACTGTAAATCTCGGTACTCCTCCTACATATGATAGTTAGTTTATGATAATCAAATGATTTTGCAAATACTGAGAATAAAATGTAATTAAATTTAAAAAAAAACTTAAATTTTACTCGTTTCTGGGTCCATGGGCTGATCTTGTCAATTACAACAGATATACCTCCGGAGGAAGCATGCTAGTGACGCTTAATATTAGCGTGGGCTGCTTCAACTCTGTTGGAAGTTCGATTACCCGTGTGCATGAGTGGATTCACATGGTAGCCTGCCCAAAATCTAGCTTTTTTCATCATGCTAAAGAAAATCGTTTAGTTGATTTTTGACAGAACATTAAATATTTCCCCATAAGCATAAATGAAATTAAAATGACTACATACAATTCCAAGTACTTTCGCATAATAATAGCACCATCTTTAGTGCAAAGGTCGGGCCGAGACACAAAAGCATGACACTCTGCTTTGGCAGCTTTGAATTGTTCCAAAGTGGAACAAACAAAAGCCATCTTCTGAGCAATCTTTAATAAACTGCGAACTTCAAGTTGCATTTCAGGATCTATTTGATTGTAGTTTGAGTTAGTCTAAAAAATACATTGAATCCGGCTGGTATAATAGCTTACTGTTTGCTTTTACTTTCGATGTTAAATATTTTTTAAACTGAAAAAGAAAATTACGTTGAATATGTATCCAACAAAGGATCTGCTTACTGTTACGAGAAACAGATTTTATGGCCTTTAACAAAGCCTCTTCGATATCGGTAACGAAACACTTGGGTAACAAATTTTCATTTGTGCCAATAGGCCACACAATATCTCTAAAACATTGTAGAGCCCATTGGTATCTCTCCGCTTTTTCTTTGTCCATCCAACAGCCGGCAATAGGAACGGATGTTAGCTGTTTTGGCTTCTCTTTCGAACGCAAAGCACCGGCAACAACGAAATTTAATAAGACCATCTTATGTGAATTTGTCTTATAAGTAGAATCAATAATTATGCACTCTGCCAGTCTACGAGCTTCTTCGATGCCGTGTTCATGGATGAAAAAAATTAGATTGTATTCTATTGTCTTCATTTGTCAAATATCTAACATGATGATTTGTTGTTTCCAAGCGTCTTATAAAATCCCACATAAAGATGCTATCATCTCTGCAGAATCATTGTTGAATGTACGTGAGATCTGTAACAGTAACATTACAAACGTCTCTTGTTCTCAACATCTTTAGACAAAATAGCAATTTAACATTTTATAATCAACTGCAAGTATCGTCTTATTTTGTAAGTTGTTCTACGCTTTACGTATAATACTTCTTCATTTAAACTAAAAGAGATCACAAACAATACTAACTCCTTACAAAACCCGCTATTTATTTTGAAATCCCTTACCTCTGTGGTATTTGACAAAATATTACATAGAAAAGTAATGAGATAAAAGTATATTTTTATTAGGGGTAAAAATAGACTAAAAGAACTCTGCTGCTATGAAATAATTGATCCTTTTTATATTGCACAACTCTCCTGAGTTTTAATGATGAGTCAACCTTTCTGGTTTTGGAATAGATCTATACTTTGTTTCCCGCCTTGGGTTAAATGGATACTACTCGTTAGAATTGTTTCCAGATAACGTTGTCCCATATCAGTGGATCGGGAGCATGAGTATGCTAATAAATCTTTAGTATTACGAGACACTTATTTATCAGATCATGCAACGGTTACTGTAAAAGATGCATACTTGTTTGTCAAGTGTAATTGGCAATAGAACATAATAGTTGATCATTTATTCATTATCTTTGTAATGAATAAATTACGATCCCAAATATAAAATGTCTTATCGATATTTGTATATTTGGTTGTAGAAGCTAGGTATCCATTAATTCATACACTATTTCTTTATACTCTTTATCAGCAGTATAATTATATCAATATATAAGTAAATGAACCATTTATATTAATAGCTGTTCTATTCTCTCTCTGGGTAGCTAATCCATTGAGAGAACTATTAATATTAAGTTTCTCTTTCTTATAATTCTTGATTGATCTGAGAAGTTTCTCTTCTCGATCGGTGATATCGTAACTCAGTGGTATAGCATTCTGTATCCAACTGTCATTCGTATATCGTATTTAGGCCAATCATGCAATCTTTAATATAGAAGTATGTACTCGAAGTAGGAGAAGTTGTATAGCAGTATACAAGCGTATGCTGATATGCAACATCAAAGGTTGTTTTAATTTCATAGTTTATTTATTTAAACGATTTGCTTAATTATTCTTTAAGTGGATCGTACCCAAATACGACAACCTCCAAGACTGCACTGTGAGTGCTTCTACTTTGCATCATCAGCTTCCAGTTTTCTATTGACGTGGTACATCTTGCGGTTACTGCTGACAGGATGCGTATGCTCAAAGCATGTCTTAATCACAAACCACCGATTCTCCACGTCCTTCAAAACTATCTTTAGGTGGATGAAGGCTGTACACCCAACTTTACCTGTCTTTCGGTTGGGTCTCTTGAATCCACCCTCATCATCATTGCCGTCTTTTATTTTTTACTTTGTTACTATAATTATAAGATCACTGAAGTCAAAAAATACATACTTTCTACACCTCTGGTGCTACGATAATCTCCAAAGTGCTTGCACACAAGTTTGACATAGACTTTGGCACTTCTCAAAGTTTGGAATTGGATGTTTTGAGCCTTGCAAAACTCTTGAATTTCCGCTCTTGCAGAATTCTTATGGCCAAATGTCTTCTTTTTTGAAAACTCTTTCTCAAAAGCCTCCTTCATACCAACAACAGCTTCACTGCTACTTTCTTTCGCTTAGCTTATAGAATTTTTACAAAAGGTATTTGCATCCAATATCTTGTTCGCATCCATCCGTTATCAAATCTTTGTCTATCCGTTCAAATCAGTTGTGTATTCGATTCGTCTCCTTCTGCTCCATCTTTTTGAATTAATACGCTTTCTTGCATCTCTTTGATCTCGTCTTCAATTTCGACATTCAACACATTTGTGAAAAGATTTTCGTATAACTCCCGATCATTAAACTATGTCAATTTCACCAGAGTTTACTTGGGCAGATATTGCAGCTGTTGGTAATGCCAAGAAGGTTCTTCGTCCCATACATGTCTCTGATGAGACTGATTCTGAATACAAGCGTGCAAGTACCATTATTTACGAAGATGAATGCCTAGAGGCTCTCTTCTTGACACAACAAGCGATGTCCATCGTAAAGCAAAAGTTGATTGATGGATCTGTTTTGTTTTCTTTCCCCGCTACCGTATTCAAGCATCCTTTCGAGGCTACGAGGCCATTGAATCCCAATGTGGTCCTCTACACGGCGTTAGACCCATTAGTTATTATGGGGTTCTTTCTGACAGTAACATGTTGTTGGAGGTTAAGTTTCTGGATGATGGTAGCACTATGAAGGCTATCACCAGTGGTGTCTCTGTTAAGGACAAGATTTTTAAAGGTTTTCCAACGAATTTTTCCGACAAAAATACTCTCGTACAGGTCAAGTTCTCGATTTTATATATCCCAGACCAAGAAAACTTTCTGGAAGATTTGTTAGCATCTCTAGCGTTTTATGGACAAGTATTACAAATCAAGGAGTATTCCTGTGGTCGTTACTTTGAGGGTCAGATGTCCGTCATTCTGAACACTGCGGTAGGCTACACGGATGAAGATGATGAATATCACGCTAGTACCTTTGTCAAACAACTTGTATCTATCCGAATGGGACTGTTTTGCTACTGCGACCTTTAAAGGTGCTCCGTCTGTGTGTCATTGGTGCCATGTTGCTGGTCATATTCGTTCCAAATGCCCGGAATTAGCGAAGACCAAATGTTTTGTATGTCATAGTCATGGTCACACAGCCAAGTTTTGTAAGAGGGGAAAACGTTCCGTAGTTAGGCAGCCTGTTTTTGCTGAAGTATCCCAAGATATTGACTTGGATTCAACTGATTGTCTTGATGCCAATATTTTGTCCGACTCAGACACTGATATTTCTGATGTATCTACATCGCCCAAAATTGCTTCCCGTGGTTCCGATGCTTCCAAGTTTGCAACTACTGTTGCTAGTGTGTCTGGAGACGTGGACTATGTAATGGATACCACCACTCTTCCTTCTTCGAACGCAGAACTGGTTGGTAGAACTGGTGGGACCGATAAAGGTCTTATTCCCCAACGTTCTGCTTTAGGTCAACATCCTGTCTCTAAACAGAGAGTGAAAGGGACGTTTCCCAAATTGGTGGCTCGAACACCCCCTACTCTAAAAGGTCATAATTTGTTTACGAAGACTAAAATTGTTAAAAAGTAACCATTTTAATTTCCCCTTTCGTTTTACGTATAATTCGCTTATTGCTAAATAAACTTACTGTTCATACAAAAAAAAAAAAAAAAAAAAGAATTTTTACAAAAGGTATTTGCATCCAAGGGAGGGCTTTCTTTCGCTTAAAGAATTTTACAAAAGGTATTTGCATCCAAAACTTGTTTCGACGATATCTCGGTGAATTCTATCCATCCATTCAATTTTCTTTTTGCATTCGACGCGTTTGCAAGCTCTATCTTTTTCAATTATTACGCTTTCGTTCATCTCTTCGATCTCGACTACAATCTCGACATTTATAGAAATCTTCGAACAAAAAACTTTTTTCAATTTTGAATTTTCAATTCTTGATTCCAATTTTGAAAATGAATGACATGGAATCAAATGATCGGTTGTCCTGGACAACTGTTGTTGCTCGTGGGCGTCCAATAAAATTGTTCGTCCAATGTATCGCTCTAAGGTGCAAGACTTGGAATCTAAGCTTTCTGGTACGGTAATTTACCAACATTTGACCTGGAAATTCAAATCTTGGCTCGTAAAGCTGCTGCTATTGTGCGTCAGGCTTTGACTCCTGGTTCGGTTCTTTTTCTTTTCCGGCTCGTCTTTTAAAGTTCGGGCAGAAGCTTATACGGCCATTGAGGCCAGTTGTGGTAAGATCTCGGGTGTTCGACCCTTAGTATGTATGGTGGTAAGTCAACTGGTGATCTTCTGGTGGAAGTGAAGTTTTCGGCCCCGAAAGTACAACTAAGGCTCTCAACAGGTGTAATGGTTGGTGAACTTTGTTTCAAAGCTTCCCCTTCACATGATGGTATGTCAAATAGTAATTTGGGCTATCAAGTTGAGCATGCTAAGAATACCTGATGAAGAGAATTTTGCTGCCGATTTGAAACGGTCTCTAAAGTATTATGGTAAGGTGTATCAGATCAAGAAGTTCACTTATCACGGTTTTTTGAGGGTGAGGTGTCTGTTTTGTTGGATGTTTCTGAAGGTTATCAGAATGATCTTGGTGACCATTAAAAGCCCAACCTCTGTCGAATAGCTTGTACCTGGAACAATGGGATTGTTTTGCTGCTGCTTCTTCAAAGTTGCTCTTCCTGTGTGCCATTGGTGTAAAAATGGCTGGTCATCTTCGAAAGGACTGTCCTGAACTGGCCAAATGGGTGTGTTTTAGTTGTAATGGTCATGGGTCATATCCGCAAAATTTGTAAGGCCAAACGAATGAACAGCGAGCGCCGTTGATTTGCACGGAGTATCTGCGGCCTGCAATCGCGCAAAAGATGATGTATTATATATCTACGGCTGATCCTCATGGTTTTATGCTGGTGAAAAAGTACCACACTTGATAAAGGCACCAAATCTTCGAAATGGGCTTCGGGAACCTACAATTTTGATGTGGACATGGAGTCTGTCCCTCATGTGCAGCTTGAGGTTAGCGAGGTCAGCTGAGACAATCGGGTCTAGCATGTGCGATGACATGAGTGAAGATGAAGACATGGCAGTCGGTACGTCTAGTGATGTGTCGGTTGGTGCCTCGGGTCTGGTGGTGGTTCCGGTGTGAACTCTGATGTTGGTGAGGTGTCTCAGGTCGGTGATATTAGTCTTGGTGCTGTTTCTTATGGAATGGTGGTGACATGTGTGTTGCTGGTGGTGATATGTCTGGTGCTGGTGGAGATATGTCTGGTATTGATGGTGATATGTCCTGGTGCTGGTGGCGATATGTCTGGTGCTGGTGCTAGTGCTGGTGCTGGTTTATTACTGGTGCTAGTCTAAATGGAAGGAACTCTGTTGGTGGTGGTGGTCGAATTCTTGGCTCAAAGAAAGGAAAGGACTGTGCAGCCTGCTGGCGGTAGTGTGAAACAAGTATCTAGTTTCTTCGAAGAAAATGGGTGTGCCTCCGCCATATACAAGTATCATATGAAAAAGAACTCCAACAGACTGCCGATAAGGCGCAATGTTAGGTAAACCTCTTCGCTTGGGCTCACTTAATGCGCGCAGCATTTTCAAGTCGACGAGCCCTCAATTCAAAAGGAATTTATTTCTTTTCTGCGCAATCGTTCTTTGTCTCTGGATGTTCTTTGCATTCAAGAAGTTTCTTCTTTTCATCAAGCCCATCTTACTGATGATCAAATGCTTCAATTCTGCTCCTTTCTTTTTCCTCGTTGTTCGGTGTTGTCTCCAAATATTGTGCTATTGTATGTCTCAATTCTGGTCTCTATCTGGATGACACTGCTGTTTCATTGGACGAGCGTTGTGTTGTTGGTTCAGTTATGGATCTTCAGCATAATGTCTTGTGTCGCGTTGCCTCTGTTTACGTACCGGCACAGTCTTCGGACCGTCCTCTGTTTTTGAACAATTTTCTTTCTCTTCCTTTTTTCTCTGACATGTCTACTGCGCCTTGGCTACTTATGGGTGATCTCAACAGAATCTTCATAATGTCAGGTTATGGTCATTCCACTGTGTCTTTCTGGTTTGATTGGGTGCGTAGTCATTTCGACAATTGCTTTCCTTCTGGTCTTCCTACTCACACGCAGGGTAACTCAAGAACTACTATTGATTATGTCTTTGGTCATCGCTCTCTGGCTACTCGACTGGTTAATGGTATGATTCGAAAAGTCCCTTCGGCGTATACAGATCGTTTACTATCAATCGATCTTGTTCCTGCCCGTGTTGATATTGGTCCTGGTTGTTGGCGTTTCAACCCTACTTATTGGATGATGCTGAGTTCCTGGTTCTGCTGGATAAGACCGTGGCGCTCTTCTTTGATTCCATTGTTTGTGTTGATAATCCTGGTGACGGTGGTGGGGGTGAACCTGTGCCTGTTCAAGACATATGGGAATTTCAAAGTGTTACTGAAGTGCTGCGCACGGAAGTACACTAGAGGTGCTAAGGCTCGGTTCAAGAACAAAGTTGCTTCGTTACAACAGGAACGTACAATTCTGCTATCAACTGCGTCGGGCATTATCACTAGTGATGCTGTGTTAACTCAGTCTGGTTCTGGAAGTATCTTGGTTGATTCCTCGAAACTGAAAGAGCTAGATCAACTGATTGACAATCAGATTCAGAAAGAAACGCGTGAATGTATGCTTCGCTCTGCTACTCGCTGGCATGAACTGGGTGAACGTAACAACAAGTATTTCTACCGAGTTATCAAGGAGCGTCAGTCTAAACAGACTATACAATCCTTAAAGTGCTCCGCTACTGGTTCTGTCTTGGTGAATTCAGATGATATTATTCGGGAAGCAAGAGGTTTTTACCAGGAGCTATACACACCGATTTAATTGATGATGCAGCTGTTGACTCTCTCTTGGCAAGTATTCCTGATGATGTGGTGTTGTCTCTAGAAGATTCAGACTCGCTGACAGATCCTATTCTGATGGATACTCTGCAAGATTTGGTTGGTCATACTCCCCTTGGTAAAAGCCCTGGTTTGGATGGTCTTCCTTTTGAGGTGTACAAATACCTATTCAAGTCTTCGGCTGATTTTCGTACGATGCTGCTAGGTATTTAAATGATGCTCTTATCGGTGTGTTTCCTTCTTCTTGGCAACAAACTAGGATGGTCTTACTTTTCAAGAAAGGTGATCCAATGTTACTCAAGAATTGGCGCCCGCTCTCTCTCATCAATAGCGATGCAAAGTTGTTCACAAAACTTCTGGCTAATAGGCTTAATCTGTTCTTCCTCAGCTGATAATCCTTACCAAACTGGTTTTATGCCTCATCGATTGATCTCGGACAATGGTTGGTTAAATCAAATGTTTATGGCTAATGCTCGTGATGTGGCTCCTGATGTTCCTCAGGTGGCAGTTCTGCTGGATCAAGAAAAGGCGTATGATAGGGTCCATCCGGATTATCTCCGCAAGGTGCTTCTTCGATTTGGTTTTCCCTTGACGCTGGTGGATTGTCTAAGTACTCGTTCTTTGGTACGGAGATATCCATCTCTATCAATGGTTGGTTAGGAATGCCTATACCTCAGTCTCGAGGTCTACGGCAAGGTGATCCTCTTCTCCTCTGCTCTTTAATTTGGCCTTTGAACCTCTTCTTCGGTCCATTCTAGCGTGCTCTGGTCTCTCTGGTGTCTTCTTGGTGGTGGTGCGGTGTCTTCGGCGGTGTGTCCTCTGGTTCTACCGGTGTGGATTGATACTCCTAGCTCATCGATCGCGATTTTATCAGTCAGTCGGTGGTGAACCCTCCTCGTCCTGTCAAATTAATAAGTTATGCTGATGACCTTGGAGGTGTTTTTTAACTGGTCCAGGTGAATGGCCGGTCTTGAAATCTTTATTGGATTGCTACGGTCTAGCTTCTAATGCCAAAGTAATCTTATAGTAAAACGGGTGTGGTGTCTCTCTCCGGTGTTGGTCATGCTGATTGGGTCGAAAATGCTCAATCCGAAGGTCTCGCATGGCATTATTCTAGTTCTGTGTGGTGCGGTGCGATATCTTGGTTACCATCTATAACATACCTCAACGCAGCTCGATGCGTTTCAGGATGAAGTTCAGCTTAAAATACTGAGACACTCGAATATCGTACGTCAGCGCAATCTTTCTCTGCGTGGATCAGGTCTTGTTGCCAATTCTCTACTTTTTAAGTCGGCTCTGGCATATTTGCGTGTGGTATCTGTTCCAACTAAATGGCTCGATTCTGTCCAAGCTCTGGTTCGTGGATATTTACTTCCTTTTTGGCCCCGGCCCTCAATGTCTACTATGTATGTCCCGCAAAAATTCGGTGGTGTTAGCTTGTCGATGTGCATCTGCAACAGCTAGCCATGCAACACATCTACATTCAACGGTTGATCTCCGACCCGAAGACAACTGATTTTGTTTCTCCTTGGTTGGTTCGTGGTATCCAGTTATATACCGGTCATGCCTCAATTTTACCCTGGTTCTTATATCCGACTAAATTTCAAAATTCACTGAAACGGAGATTCCTTTGGCTCAACTAGGCAAAATTTTACAGAATCTTCCTCCACTCTCCTTGTCCAACACATGGTCTGCTCGATGGTTTCTAGATTTGCCTCTTCAATGTGTTGTAACTGTTGGTGATGCAGTTAATACTTGGTCTCCCGACACTGGTACCTTCTTCTGTGCCCCTTCGGTATTTGGTCTCTGGTATCTTTTCTTGGAATCAATCTACCGACAACTTGCGAAATACACGTGTCGTCAATGCTAGCAAAGTGAAAGAGGTTCGACGAGCCTTGTATCCATCCGATGGCTGGTTTGCTGCAACTGGTTTTCTTCCAACAGCTTTGCATAATCATCAAACCGCGATGTCCTGCTCCCGGCATGGCTTCCAGCGCTTTATCATTGGACTATCCCCAAGGCCGTGGTAACATGGTTACTGTTTCTGGTATACGTCAAGGTGATCTTCGTTGGTATTGGCATCCAGATCGTGCGAAGTTTGAGATTCGCGCCGTCATACCTCAGGTGTTCCAACCCGGTTCTTACTTCGGCCTTCCTTATGGGGGCTCTTGTTGGTCCTTGGATGTTGACAGTAAGGGCTTTTACTCCATGGTGGAGTCTAGCTTCAAATTGTATAGGCTATAGGGCTAAACTACCCGTGTGTCTCCTACTAAGTATCCTTGTGCCAGCTGCCCTATTGGTTTAGTCTCTTCTTCCGAAGACTTGTTCCATTTGTGGTGGGCTGTTTCGATAAGTGGCAGTACGGGTGTAACGTGATCTCTCTTGCTTAACATTGGTGACACATGCAAAACTGAATTTGTATATTTGGTCTGGCTTTGGTATCTCTCTGCGGGTCAAAACCAAAAGCCTCTATCGTCGGATATGCTTGTTATTCTTGCTCTGGATTGGCAACACTTTGGAAATACCATTGGCGCTGTGTGATTGATGGTGGATCTGTGGAACTCTCAAGCTGCTCTTAACATGTTTCAACAGGATCACTCCGTACTTATTGCTGATACTTTAGCACTCAATCCCCTTTAGTTCGTAGTGATAGTCTAGTGTCGCCTTCGGGCTAATTTTATAATTCTTTATATATCTAATAAACTTACAGTTAATACAAAAAAAAAAGTAGTATAGTCTGCCAGCGAAAAAAACTATGGTGCGCCAGCGAAAAAAACTATGGTGCGCCAGCGAAAAAAACTATGGTGCGCCAGCGAAAAAATGTATGGAGCGCCAGCGAAAAAAGCATGGTGCGCAGGAAAAAAGTGCAATGTGCAAAAATCATTTTTGGTCCGACCCGGAATTTTATTATTTGACCGGTGTTGCAGCCAATCTAAATTGACTTGGTGTTACACAGGATAGGATCTTTCCTATAAATACGCCCTTTTTTTTTCTTAAAAATATTCCTCCAGTTTTATCTTAACTAAAAATCTAGTTTCTTAATAATTTGTAATTGACTCCTTTGTGTTTCCCTCAATTTTCATACTTCTTGTTATCTTAAGTCTCTACTTACATATAACAATTAACTCAAAGTTCATATTTTCACACTCGACTCGAATCTCTTTATTACTACAACCGTACATAAGATATTGTTTATAATAACATAATTACTTTTTTTTTAATCTTGGCAATTTGTTTATATTTATATTACTTACGCCGTCTTAAAATCATCGTTGATTACCTTCTTATCCTAAAAACTTTATATTATAAGATTTCTTAAGTTGACTACTTCCAGTCTGGTGCTCACTTTCATAACTACTTTATTATTAACTTCAGTGTTAATAACCTATATCCACCTTATCCTTTAAGAACTATTACCAGTGTCTTAACACCGGACAGAAAGAAATGGTGCGCGAGATTTTTTTTTCAAGCAAAAAGTATGGTGCGCGTACAATTAGTCTATTTTTTTCGCTACTATTTGACATTTGAAAGTATATAATATTAATTTTAAAATCGCAGACCATCTACCTTTATACCATTTACAGACCCCTGACGGCATCTAAACCCATTGCATTGTACCACACAGTTCTTAAATGATTTTCCTTCTTAAATTTAAACCACCAGTCTATTTCATATTTTTTTTGTAATAATCTCAAACTGTATGTCTTTATTCCATGTTTATTTATTGTAGACTGCTGTCAATGTATACTTCGTACACAACTCCCAACCCTAATCCGACTGACTGGACAACTATTCAACGACCGAGTATACTACTAAAAAACTTTTTTTTTGTATTAACAGTGAGTTTATTTAGCAATGAAAAAAATTATAGAAATCGAAAGGGAAAATTGAAAAAATTATTTTTTAACAACCTTTGTCTTTGTGAACAAATTATGACCTTTAAATTGGATGGTGTGCGAACCACCATTTGGGAATCGGACCTTTAACGCCTGATTTCGGGACAGAAGGCTTACCTACAACCGAGCGCTTGGCACCAGGAACTTTTATAGCGCCACTAGTAACTTCGACCATCGGACCAGCCGTCGAAGAAGCAGGAGTGGTAGTATTCATGTGATTGTCAACCTCCATGGATACACTAGCAACAGTGGTCGCAAAATTAGAAGCTGCAGAGCCACTTGCTTCAAACTTGGGGGACGTAGACACGTCAGAAATATGTGTGTCCGAGTCAGACAGCACTTGACCGTGGAGCTCTCAACGGTGGGGGAGGGAAGATTAGTTGGGATCTTATCCAAAACAGGCAGTTTCGTAACACCAAGATTCTTCTTTTTGCAAAACTTGGCGGTATGTCCACTACCACGACACGAGAAGCATTTGGTTTTCGCCAACTCCGGACATTTAGACCTTGCGTGTCCAGCCAAACGACACCAGTGACAAACCGTGGGTGAACCTTTAAATGATGCCGAAGCAAAACAGTCCCATTCCTCCAAGTACAAATTATTCGTGAGTGGCTCATTCTTGACCTTGTCACCAGAAGCATCAATATAGCCACACTATTAAAGAACCGCTTACACTAACTTGAAGCAAATCTATAGGCTAGTTTTTAAAAAAATTAAGTTTTTATTGGCTCTTCAGTCCCCTCCCATAAGCCTAAGGCCAGAAATTTGAATTACGGCCTTTGGATTCAAAATGTATTGGCCAATAAATTTAAAAACAGCCTTTGCAACAGAAATATATTGGCTGCTGAATATCAATTTGTAAATTCAATATCCAATCAATGAAGGATCCAAACGTCTGAGTAACCCCGAGGTATGTTATCCCAGCCGAATTTCAGGGTGTAGCAATATTTTAAACTGCGTACGGTGTAGGTCTTTTTTTTTTTTTTTTTGTATGAACTGTAAGTTTATTAAATTATTTTCAAATTATAAATTAGCCTGAAGGCGTGACTAAACTAATCTTTGGAACTGTTGACTTTGCCAAGGTCGAAGCAATAAGAACAGAATGGTCTTGTTGGAACATGTTAAAAGCCGCGTGAGAGCTCCATAAGCCATCTTCCATAACACACTGCCAATGGTATTTCCAAAGTGTACTAAAAGCTGAACCTAATAGAACCAGAATATCAGGCTTTAGCCGTTTGGACTTAATAGAACAAAGAGAGACCATGCCAGACCAGACGTCGTATTCGTTTTGAAAGTCGTCACCTATTTCAAGAAGCGAAATGACGTTGCACCAAAATTGCCATTTATCAAAACAGCCGACCACAAAGTGAAAAAGATCTTCTGAGGAAGACACTAGGCATATAGGGCAGGTAGCACTAGGAAACTTCAAAGGAGACCATCTATGTAGCTTCGCGCGATATCCAATACAGTCTTGTAGCAACCGCCACCAAGGTGTAAAAGCCTTACTGGTCAAATTAAGAGTCCAGAAACGACGCCACAAAACAGGTTTCAGCAAGCATCGTGTTGGTACCATCTCCGGGATCTTAGGAGGATAATCAAACTTGGAGCGATCCTGATGCCAAAACCACCGAAGCTCACGTGGGAGGGTACCAGCCACAGTACTAAAGTTCCAGGGACCATTTGGCACACACCATTTGGAAAGGTCAGGTAACCAACTAGGCGTTAGAAGATCACGCTGGGCCTGAGGAAGCATGGCATTGGGCAAAAAGCCAGTCGCAGCAAACCAACCTTCAAGGGGGAACAAGGCCCGAATAGTCTCACGAACCTTTGGCTTTGTAGACACGTGATTATGAACCAGACTACCTTCTTCTTGATCCCAAGAGTAGATATCAGATATCAGATACCGAAGTGGAATACTTGATGGAACTAAGGTGGGAGCCCGACCATTGACGGCCGTGGATACAGAAATAACACATTGCAATGGAAGATCCAAGTACCAACGGGAGCACCAAGTAGAAGAGAGTTCCAGTGTCGGTAATTTTGCCAGTAAACCAGAAAGATGAGTCATAGCTGGAATAGGTTGCAGACTTGACTTAAACTTGGTGGGAAACATGAACCATGGTAAAATGGAGGAGTGACCAGAGTATATTTGGAAGCATCGAACTATCCAGGGAGAGACAATGTCGGTTGGAGTGGGACCAGACACTAAACGTTGCACATATATGTGATGAAGACTAAAGCTTTGATCGTGAATGTCAACAAGGCCAACACCACCAAATTTACGAGGTAAGGTCAGAGTAGACATTGCAGGCCTAGGCCAGAAAGGTAAGAGGTAGCCACGAACAATAGACTTAACCGAGTCAAGCCACTTAGTTGGTATAGGAACCACTCGAAGAAGATGCCAGAGACGACTAAGAAGCAGAGAATTAGCTACCAGGCCAGAACCACGCAAAGAGAGGGGCCGACCACGAAGCATTTGTGTGTGCCGAAGTATCTTGACCCGAATTTCTTCCAAAAATGACTCCAACTGACTCGTTGTATGATATAGAGGATAGCCTAAATACCGGACCGAACCCACAGAAGAGGAATCATGCCATTCGACTTTGGCGGAATTAGTGATGTCTACCCAACAAGCATGCCGAACACCCGACAAAGAGACGACGACAGTTTTGTCAAGATTAACCTTGGCATTAGAAGCAGATCCATAAGACCGAAGAAGATCCAACAGGATATCCCATTCACCGGGACCAGAAAGGAAAACCTCTAAGTCATCAGCATAACTCAAAAGCTTAAGCCGGGGAGGTGGATTCAACACAGATTGGCTAATAAATCGCGATCGGAGGATGAAGGAGTATCCAGCCATACCGGACGCACCAAAGGAGACGAGCTCGACCCAGCTATACCACTACGCAGAGAAACACCAGAAAGATCAGCACAACACAAAATTGACCTAAGGAGAGGTTCAAAGGCCAAGTTAAACAAGAGCGGCGAAAGAGGGTCACCTTGTCGAAGACCACGTGACTGGGAAATAGGCACACCTAACCAGCCATTAATGGAAATAGATATCTCAGTACCAAAGAACAGACTACCAAGACAATCTACCAATATCAAAGGAAGACCAAACCGAAGAAGAACCTTGCGGAGATAATCCGGATGGACCCTATCATAAGCTTTTTCTTGATCTAGTAAAACGGAGACTTGTGGAAGATCAGGATCTACATTACGAGCATTAGCCATAAAAGTTTGGTTTAGCCAGCCATTATCAGAGATTAACCGATTTGGCATAAAACCAGTTTGATATGGATTGATTAGTTGAGGCAGAACCACATTAAGACGATTGGCCAGAAGTTTCGTAAACAGTTTAGCATCGCTGTTGATTAGAGACAAAGGCCGCCAGTTTTTCAGCATCATTGGATCACCTTTCTTATAGAGCAGAACCATACGAGTCTGTTGCCAAGAGATTGGATACACACCTATGAGTGCATCATTCAGAATTCCTAATAGCATGGTACGAAAGTCAGCCGAAGTTTTGAACAGGTACTTGTACACCTCAAACGGAAGACCATCTAAGCCAGGACTTTTACCAAGGGGAGTGTGACTGACCAGATCGTGTAGAGTGTCCATAACAATAGGTTCCACCAAAGATTCAGAGTCATCAGGGGATAATACCACATCATCAGGGATACTAGCCAAGAGAGAGTCAACAGCTGCATCATCAATTAAATCGGGTGTGTATAGCGCCTGGTAAAACCTCTTGCCTCCCGAATAATATCATCTGATTTCACTAAGACCGAGCCAGTAGCGGAGCACTTCAAAGACTGTATAGTTTGCTTAGACTGGCGCTCCTTGATCACCCGGTAGAAATATCTGTTGTTCCGTTCACCTAGCTCGTGCCAGCGAGTGGCAGACCGAAGCATGCATTCACGCGTTTCTTTCCGAATCCCAGTATCAATAAGCTGGTCGAGTTCATCAAGTTTGATATTCTTATCTACGTTACTGGAAGAGCCGTTATCGCCGGTGACATTGGCTAGCAGAAGAGTACGCTCATGTTGTAACGACGCGACCTTATTCTTGAAGCGACGTTTAGAACCACGAGTATAGTTTTGAGCACAACATTTAAGTGAAGACTTAAGAGATTCCCAGATATCTTGAACAGGGACCGGTCCTTCGTCATGACTGACACCCGGATTATCAACACATAACACTGAGTCATAAAGACCGCCACGGTTTTGTCGAGTAACGGCAAGAAGTCAGCATCATCCAATAAAGTTGGGTTAAAACGCCAGCAACCGGGACCAATATCAACACGGGCAGGAACAAGATCGATTGAGAGTAGACAATGATCAGAGTACGCCGAAGGGACTTTTCGATTCATACCGTTCACTAGTCGAGTAGCCAAAGATCGGTGACCAAAGACATAGTCAATAGTAGTTCTAGAGTTACCCTGCGTGTGCGTTGGGAGACCAGACGGAAAACAATTGTCGAAATGACTACGAACCCAATCAAACCATGCCGAAAACAGTGGAATGACTAGTAACCTTGACATTATGAAGATTCAAGTTTAGATCACCCATCAGCAACCAAGGAGTCGTAGACATGTCGGAAAAGAAAGGTAGAGATAGAAAATTGCTCAGAAACAGAGGACGGTCCGAAGACTGTGCCGGTACATATACAGAGGCAACACGACACAAGACATTATGTTGAAGATCCATTACTGAGCCAACAACACAACGCTCATCCAATGAAATAGCAGTGTCGTCCAGGTAGAGACCAGAGTTAAGACATACAATTGCACAATACTTGGAGACAACCACCGAGCAGCGAGGAAAAAGAAAGGTACAAAATTGAACAATTTGATCATCAGTAAGATGGGCCTGATGAAAAGAGGAAACTTCTTGAAGACAAAGAAACTCCAGAGACAAAGAACGATTACGCAGAAAAGAAATAAATTCTTTTTGTATTTGAGGGCTCGTCGACTTGAAAATGCTGCGCGCATTAAGTGAGCCCAAGCGAAGAGGTTTACTTAACATTGCGCCTTATCGGCATTATGTTTAGTTTGGTTCTTAATATAGTTCATCATAGCCGGGGTTTTACCAACCCGAAGTTCAGGTTCGCCAAATTGTTTGAGCTTGGGTACCGGTCGAGTAACAGTTTTGTCCTTTTTACTTATAGCATGCTTATTACCATTCACTTTACTTCCAACTCCAACACCAGGAGGGCCGTACCAAGACCGGCAATCCCCTTACGGCGAACTCCAGCACCACGATTATCACCAGGACCAGGACCAGGAGTAACACCATCACCACGGTTGACACCAGCACCAGGACCAGGAGTAGCACCATCACCACAGTCAACACCCGAGGCAACAACCATATCAACGTCATCAACAGTAGCCGAATCATCCATAGCATTCACCTCATCATCTGCTATGCTATCAGTAAGATCAACCATGTCTTGGTCAATGTCAAATACGTTTTCCGCCATGTCGGTCACAGTTGTCTTGGATGACTCACTAACTTGAAGGTCAGACTCCTCAATGATTTGTACATCCATATCAACATCTGGGGAATAATCCGCCCATTTTGAAGAAGAAGCGCCGTTAGGTTGATCGAAGAATTTGCCTTCTCAATAGAAATATTCTCCATATCACGACTCGAATCATTTGGATTCTCCTCAGTGCGTGGGTTACAGGAACGAAGATACTCGTGCAAGTCGATAGAATCCGAGGTTTTCTTGGCCTTACAAAACTTCGCGGTGTGACCACGACCGTTACATTTGAAACAGACTCTTTTGGCAAGCTCCGGGCATTCCTTACGCATATGACCAGCTACTTTACACCAATGACATACCGGAGCAGCACCCTTGTATGACGCGGCAGCAAACAATCCCATTGTTCCAAGTATAAACTGTTTGACAAAGGTTGGACCGGCATTGTCTCGCCAAGATCGTTAACATAACCAGAGGAAACATCCAAGATAACGGAGATCTCACCCTCAAAGAACCCATGGTAGGTGAACTTTTTAATTTGGTACACCATACCGTAATAACGCAAGGATCTTTGAAGATCGGCCACAAAATTTTCTTCATCGGGAATACGAAGCATGCTTAACTTGACGTGCACCAAGTTACTATTCGACATACTATCACTTGAAGGAGTTGCTTTGAAGCACAATTCACCAACCATGACCCCAACAGATACAGCCTTAGTAGTACTAGCGGCATTAGAAAACTTCACTTCCACCAGAAGATCTCCAGAAGACTTACCACCGTACATGCTAATCGGTCGGACACCGGCAATTTTACCACAACTTGCTTCAATTGCGGTATAAGCATCAGCGCGAACCTTGAACAAGGCAGTGGGAAAGGAAAACAGAACAGAACCCGGAGTCAAGGCTTGACGAACAATAGCTGCAGCTTTACGAGCCAAAATTTGAATCTCCAGGTCAACATGCTGGTAAATTACCGTACCAGAAAGTTTATAATCTTTGTCTTGAGTCTTTGAAGAAAACACGGGACGTACAATTTTCGTGGAGGCACCACGAGCAACAACAGTTGTCCAAGACAACCGATCATTTGATTCCAGGTCATTCATTTTCAAAATTGGAATCGAGAATTGAAAATTGAGAATTGAGAATTTAAGTTTCTTGCGTAGATTTCTTTAAATGTCGAGATTGAGGTCGAGATTGAAGAGATGGACGAAAGCGTAATAATTGAAAAAGATAGAGTATTCAACGGCGCGTTGAATGCAAAAGAATTTTTGAAGGATGGATAGAACTCACCGAGATATCGTCGAAACAAGAAGTTGGATGCAAATACCTTTATGAAAAATTCTTTAAGCGAAAGAAAACCTTTTTTTTTTCGTACGGTGTAGGTCTGTCGAGTTTGCTTTTTGGTTTACAGCGGTTCTGGTCTTCTGCCTGGCTCACTTTTTTTTTTTTGTATTAACAGTGAGTTTATTTAGCAAGTTAGATATAGAAGTAAAAAAGGGAAAGCTAAACTATTTCGTTTTAGCAACCTTTGTCTTCGTAAACATTTTGTGACCTTTAAGAGCATGTTGCGTCTGGACAACTAACTTAGGAGCAGGACCTTTGGAGTTTGCTTGATAGCCTTCTGTTTACCCAAATGGAACGCTTTTGTCCTAGCATTTTTCTGCCACCATCAAACATTTTACCAGCCAAATGGGAAGTCGGAACTGTCACCGGTAATGTACCCTCGTCTTCTTCAATTTCCATGGACACCATTTCTACTGTCGTGGCGTACTTAGACGTTGAAGAACCACTTTCAGCAATCTTCGAAGGCTGGTACGCATCTGACAGGTCTGTATCAGAATCGGAGATAACCTGTTTAACAATCGTAGGCAGCTCGATATTGGATTCCTCCTTAGGAGTATGGGCTTGCACTGGCTGAAACGTTTTCTTTTTACAAATTTCGCGGTATGACCATAACCTTGACAAGCGAAGCACTTGGTTTTTCCCAATTCCGGACATTTGGAGCGTATGTGACCGGCGTGGTGACACCAATGACAACGATAGGGGCACCTTTGAAGGATGCCGAAGCAAAAACAATCCCATTCGAACAAATATAAATTATTTGACAGCGGCTCATTGGCATAAATCTTCATTATCCATCATCGAATACCGGTAGTCGTATCGAGTATCAGTGATAATTCGCCTTCGAATATCCACCACAAGTGTACTCCTTGACTTGCAAGACTTCTCCGTAAACAGAAGAGAACCTCATTAACTTTCAAGAAATTCCTCCTTATCAGGAATATATAAAAGAGATATCTTCACGTGGGCATGCTTCTTCACTTCGCTATCATTTGAATGGGTTCCTTTGATAACGGTGTTCTTGATTGTAACACCAGAAGAAATTGCCTTGTCAAAACTTGAGTCATCAACAAATTTGGCTTCAATCAAATGATCACGATCTAAGCTGGAACCATAATTACTGATTGGGCGGAAACCATGGACAGGACCACATGCGTTTCAATAAGCTTATATGCTTCGGTACGATGTTGGATTAACGAAGCAGGAATGGAGAAAAGAGCGGAGTCAGTGTCAGGGCCTGTTTCACTATTTCGGTAGCCTTCTGCATTCTGATGAGGCCTTCAAGGTCTTCACTTTGGTAGATGACCTTACTTTGTAACTTAAATTGAGAGTCCACATTTTTAGGGACAGATAAAGGACGAACAACTTTCTTGGAATTACCACGACACACGATGTTGCCCAGGAATTGTGAAGATTTTTCTGGCATTGTTTAATAATCCAGAAAGAAAATTAAAATTGGAGATTGAGAATTGAGAATGTTGAATCTTTGCCGGATTGGCTAAATGTCGCGATAAACGCTGAGATCGAAGAGATGGAGGGGAGCGTAATAAATAAAAAGATAGAACCGATAGAGAAATCGAATGCAATAAAAATTTCTGATGGATGTATAGTTCACCGAGATATCGTTGAAACAGAGTTTGGATGCAAATACCTTTATGAAAAATTCTTTAAGCGAAAGAAAGCCTTAGATTTTGGTTCTGCCTGGCTCACTTATACGTTTCCAGCCGTCTTATTGGCTCTTTTGCAGGTTACAGCGGTTCCGGAAGATTATTGGCTAAACAGCCCCTTACTACAATCGTACCGCCACCAAATTTAGCAACAACCACATGATATCAACGCGAAAAATACTTGGCTGTACCGGGATATGTGACAAAGCCAACGTATATATGATAAAGATCACAAACCAGTGTATGTATTTAAAATGTGTAAACAACGGCTAGAGATAATTTACAGATTTGATTTGCTTGTTTTTAAATTATTTAGTTTTTTTAATTGGTCTTTGCGCCTATTTACTTTCGAATCGGCGTTAAATTTGGATTTTG